GAGCTTTAGCCACCAGGCCACCGGGCCAGCAAAGCGCCGTAAAGAGGGGCCCTCGTGTATGTTAGGTAAGGTGGTAACCAGCAAAGCACCGTAAAGAGGGGCCCTCGTGTATGTTAGGTAAGGTGGTAACCAGCAAAGCGCCGTAAAGAGGGGCCCTCGTGTATGTTAGATAAGGTGGTAACCAGCAAAGCGCCGTAAAGAGGGGCCCTCGTGTACGTTAGGTAAGGTGGTAACCAGACACCTTCTAAACCAGCCTTCTTACAATTATTTAACTAAGATTAACTTTTACAAAGTCATTTCTTCATTGCCATACTCGTGCTTGAGTGGTCATGTGTGTCAGTAATAATACATAACTTTGTGTTGTAAACACGTTTACTGTTTCGTTAACACCTTGACTTGTTAAATAACAGTTCTCTAAAGATTACAAGAAAATGTTAGACAAGCCAGTTAAGTCTGATAACATTAACATGTTAAGTCTGATAACATTAACATGTGAAAAATACATCATATGTTTGGTATTCTGTATTTATGATCACCTTAGACCTGTTATCAAAAACAAGCAAAAATTATAAGATAATGAGAAATTCAACCTAATAACCTAATAAAAGTCGCCGTTGATGTAGAGAATCTTGTCAGTGTTTAGTGTTCAATGCTCAGGTGTTCAATGTTCAGGTGTTCAGTGCTAAGGTATTCAATGCTCAGGTGCTCAGTGCTCAGGTGTTGGTAATTCTCCATCACTCACGACATCTTGTGATTCCTTATGTTCAGAAGACATGACGGAAGCCCAGTCCAAAACTGTTGGACCTGTGAAAAAAACACCCAGATTTCCATTAATATTTATGAGGTAAAACGGGTAATGTGATAACAAAAATATATCAAAAGCAGTGATAACAATATGAAGGAATCTTGTTATTTGCCTATATCTTCTTGTTATTAATGATTTATTAATGTAATATATTGTTAAAAGTCTTTTTCTGTGTACCTCAGAAGACATAAAAACTGTCTCAGTACACGACACAAATCCTGACACCACCACCCTGACACCACCACCCTGACACCACCACCCTGACACCACCACCCTGATACCACACCCTGACACCACCACTCTGACACCACCACCTGAACACCACCACCCTGACACCACCACCCTGACACACCACCCTGACACCACCACCCTGACACACCACCCTGGCACACCACCCTGACACCACACCCTGATACCACCACCTGACACCACCACCTGACACCACACCCTGACACCACCTACCCTGACACCACCCCCCAAAGACATAACCACCCTGACGCCACCACCCTGACACCACCACCCTGATACCACCACCCTGACACCACCACCCTGACACCACCACCCTGACACCATCACCCTGACACCACCACCCTGACACCACCACCCTGACACCACCACCCTGACACCACCACACTGACACCACCACCCTGATACCACCACCACATGACACCACCACCCTGACACCACCACCCTGATACCACCACCCTGACACCACCACCCTGACACCACCACCCTGACACCACCATCCTGACACCACCACCCTGACACAACCACCCTGACACCACTACCCTGATACCACCACCCTGACACCACCACCCTGACACCACCACCCTGACACCACCACCCTGACACCACCACCCTGACACACCACCCTGACCCCACCACCCTGACACCACCACCCTGATACCACCACCCTGACACCACCACCCTGACACCACCACCCTGACACCACCACCCTGACACCACCACCCTGACACCACCACTTTGACACCACCACCCTGACACCACCACCCTGACACCACCACCCTGACACCACCACCCTGACACCACCACCCTGACACCATCACCCTGACACCACCACCCTGACACCACCACCCTGACCCCACCACCATGACACCACCACCCTGACACCACCACCCTGACACCATCACCCTGACACCACCACCCTGACACCACCACCCTGACACCATCACCCTGACACCACCACCCTGACACCACCACCCTGACACCACCACCATGACACCACCACCCTGACACCACCACCCTGACACCACCACCCTGACACCACCACCCTGACACCACCCTCTGATACCACCACCCTGACACCACCACCCTGATACCACCACCCCTGACACCACCACCCTGACACCACCACCCTGACACCACCACCCTGACACCACCACCCTGACACCACCACTTTGACACCACCACCCTGACACACCACCACCCTGACACCACCACCCTGACACCACCACCCTGACACCATCACCCTGACACCACCACCCTGACACCACCACCCTGACACCACCACCATGACACCACACCCTGACACCACCACCCTGACACCATCACCCTGACACCACCACCCTGACACCACCACCCTGACAACCATCACCCTGACACCACCACCCTGACACCACCACCCTGACACCACCACCATGACACCACCACCCTGACACCACCACCCTGACACACCACCACCCTGACACCACCACCCTGAACACCACCCCCTGATACCACCACCCTGACACCACCACCCTGATACCACCACCCTGACACCACCACCCTGACACCACCACCCTGACACCACCACCCTGACACCACCACCCTGACACCACCACCCTAACACCACCACCCTGACACCACCACCCTGACACAACCACCCTGACAGCACCACCATGACACCACCACCCTGACACCACCACTCTGACACCACCACCCTGACACCACCACTCTGACACCACCACTCTGACACCACCACCCTGACACCACCACCCTGACACCACCACCCTAACACCACCACCCTGACACCACCACCCTGACACCACCACCCTAACACCACCACCCTGACACCACCACCCTGACACCACCACCCTGATACCTCGCTCCTATCCTGATCCTCATCCTCATATCTGGCATAGACAGAAATGTAAACCACAGCACCGTGACGACCATCAAAGACTCCGCAAGACTCCAGGCGGACATCAACCAAATCTTTACTTGGGCCGCATAAAACAATATGAAGTTCAATGAGAAATTTCAACTACTCAGATATGGAAAACTTGGAAAATTAAAACTTTAACAATGTATAAAACAAATTCCAACCACACAATAGAGCGAGAAACTAATGTGTGTAGGACCTGGGAATGATAACGTCAGAGGATTTCACCATCAAAGACCACAACCTTATATGCTAGAAAAAAAATGATAGGATGGATATTGAGAACCTTCAGAACTAGGTACGCCAAGCCCATGATGATTCTCTTCAAATCGCTTGTTTTCTTTAGGTTGAAATATTGCTGTACACTAACTGCTCCCTTCAAGGAAGGCGAAATTGTTGACCTGGAAAATATACAGAGAACTTTCACGGCACACATAAGTACGATAAAGCATCTAAGTTACTGGGAATGGTTGAAGTCTCATTATTTGTATTCCCTGGAACGTAGGCGAGAAAGATACACTTGGAAAATCCTAGCGGGATTAGTACCAAACATACACACGAAAATCACTCCCTATGAAATCAAAAGACTCGGCAGGAGATGTAACATTCTCCTAGTGAAATGCAGGGGTGCCACGACTGTTCAGCTGCCTCCCAGCATACATAAGGGGGATTACCAATAGACCCCAGGCTGTCTTCAAGAAGGCGCTGGACAGGCACCTAAAGTCAGTACCTGACCAGTCGGGCTGTGGTTCGTACGTCGGTTTACTTGCGGTCAGCAGCAACAGCCTGGTTGATCAGACCTGATCCACCACGAGGCCTGGTCTCAGACCGGACTGCCGAGGCGTTGACCCCCGAAACCCACTCCAGGTAAACGCCACCACCCTGCCACCCCTACCCTGCCATCACTACCCAGACACACCCACCCTGCCACCACTACCCTGCCATCACTACCCTCCTACCATCACCCTGCCACCACTACCCTGCCATCACTACCCTCCTACCACAACCCTGCCACCACTGCCCTGCATCCACTTCCTTTTCACCACGACCTTGCCACTACTATCTTGCTGACACCACCACCCTGTCACCACAACCCTACCACCACTACCCTGCCACCACCGCCCTGCCACCACCGCCCTACCACCACTATCCTGCCACCACTACTCTGAGCTAACCATCACCCTGCCATCACTACTTAGCCACAATTACACTGCCACTATCACCCTGCCACCATTACCCTGCCACCTCTACCTTGCTACCACTACCCTGCCACCACTACGCTACCAAAACTACCCTGTCACCACGACCCTGCCAGCACTACCCTGCCGCCACCACCACCACCCTGCCACCACCACCCTGCCACCACCACCCTGCCACCACCACCCTGCCACCATTACAATGTTTGTGTTTATCACTTAGGTAGTATAACAACAGTGACAACCTGCCACCACTGCCACCACTGTGACCACCACTGCCACCACTGTGACCACCACTGCCACCACTGTGACCACCACTGCCACCACTGTGACCACCACTGCCACCACTGTGACCACCACTGCCATGACTGTGACCACCACTGCCACGACTGTGACCACCACTGCCACGACTGTGACCACCACTGCCACGACTGTGACCACCACTGCCACGACTGTGACCACCACTGCCACGACTGTGACCACCACTGCCACGACTGTGACCACTACTATCACGACTGTGACCACCACTATCACGACTGTGACCACCACAGCCACGACTGTGACCACTGCCACGACTGTGACCACCACTGACACGTCTGTGACCACCACTATCACGACTGTGACCACCACTGCCACGACTGTGACGACCACTGCCATGACTGTGACCACCACTGTCACGACTGTGACCACCACTGCCACGACTGTGACCACTACTATCACTACTGTGACCACCATTATCACGACTGTGACCACTACCACAACTGTGACTACCACTTCCATGACAGTGACCACCACTACCACGACTGCGACCACCACTACCACGACTGTGACCACCACTACCACGACTGCGGTCACCACTACCACGACTGTGACCACCACTACCACGACTGTGACCACTACCACAACTGTGACTACCACTACCACGACTGCGACCACCACTACCACGACTGTGACCACTACCACAACTGTGACTACCACTACCACGACTGCGACCACCACTACCACGACTGCGACCACCACTACCACGACTGTGACCACTATCACGATTGTGATCACCACTACCACGACTGTGACCACCACTACCACGACTGTGACCACTACCACAACTGTGACTACCACTACCACGACTGCGACCACCACTACCACGACTGCGACCACCACTACCACGACTGTGACCACTATCACGACTGTGATCACCATTACCACGACTGTGACCACCACTCATGAAACATTATGTGTCATGGTAAGAGTATGTTGCATTGTATTTAGCGTATATCACATACCCATATATTATAATCCCTACAAGTGAACTAGGTACTAAGAGTTTAACGATCAGGGGCCCCACATTATTACACCAGTACCCTGGTTCAACTAACCAATCACAAGGAAGCCCACCGATGTTGTGAAGCGATGTGGTACACTAGTAAAGCAGTTACCTGCTGGTCACTATGGTTCTCACTGTGTCTTGTGCTCGCATTCACATCATTGTACAGAGCTGTAAATACTGTAAATAGGCAAAATACATATTGTAAATACCAGCTTGCTATCTGTGATGGAAATTCATCAATTTACTCAACCGTTTTCTAATACATGACAACAGTGACTTACCTGCCACCACTACCATGACTGTGACTACTTAGGAATAGTGACAACAGTGACTTACCTGCCACCACTACCATGACTGTGACTACTTAGGAATAGTGACAACAGTGACTTACCTACCACCACTACCATGACTGTGACTACTTAAGAATAGTGACAACAGTGACTTACCTGCCACCACTACCATGACTGTGTGTGGCATGCAAAGAGTACGTAACCTTTATTCGGGGCATGTACACACCCTCATTTACAGGCTATCTCCCCCAACCAGCGAACCAGGTGACTGAGAGTGGACGATGGGGCCCCGTCGTTCAACTAGTACCCAGGTTCCAGCCAATAAGAAGATGGTTTTGGCAATCACAGAGGTTATGTGGGTATCACTCTCCTGTCTGCCCTTGTCATTCCCATTCTAGAGCTGGTTGAAACACGGTCTGCTCTCTAGTGGCTTCTATTCTGCCTTGCTTACCGTGGAGTGCACTAATACCTGTCGCTGTACATAGTGTATATAGTGTACATACTTCTGTTCTAAATTGGTGAAGGATAATATAAGTCAAAAGTTTTCTGCTGTGTTTATTTTGCTCCCTTTACACCCAGGATGACAGGCCATTTGGACTCCTGGGTTGTAATGTGGGGACCTGTCCGGGAGCTGAACCTGGGACCTCTCGCACCCCAAGCGAGAATCATACCCCTAGACCAACAGGCCATTTGGACTCCTGGGTTGTAATATGGGTAGCCTGTCCGAGAGCTGGAGCTGGACTTAGAGAAGGGTTGAGCCTAGGGTGAAGCTGGAAGCAGGATCATTGTGCAGCTTGCTGTCTAGCATTGCATTAGCTTTGCCAATGCTTTACAAACTTTGCGTGTCAGTTGCTTTGCTATGGTCAGCCTTGCTATTGTGTGATCGTTCAACAGCTCGCTACTAGCTTGCTCAGCGTGCTCGCTTCGCTACGGTCAATCTTGTGGTAACCCCTTCCAAGCTCTTTTTTTTTTTTTATCCCCTGGTGTGGTTTTGTTTTTTTTAGTGAGGGGATGCGGGCTACCGTCCACCTGTGTCTTGGACCTAAGCTAGCCCGACTGTCTGCTGTCTCGCTCTGAGTTTAGGGTTTGGCTTTTTGTCACGAGAAAAGCTGAGCTCTATCTAAGAGTTGGATGGTTGAGAAAAAAGGCAGTCCCATTATTTTGTGCCATGGCGGCACGGTTACCACTGGGAGGTGGCAGCCTAATCCTGAGCCTGCTCGGGGTGGGGGTGTGGCATGCAAAGAGTACGTAACCTATATTCGGCGCATGTACACACCCTCATTTACAGGCTAACTTCCCCAACCAGCGAACCAGGTGACTGAGGGTTGACGATGGGACCCCGTCGTTCAACCAGTACCCAGGTTCCAGCCAATAAGAAGATGGTTTTGGCAATCGCAGAGGTTATGTGGGTACCACTCTCCTGTCTGCCCTTGTCATTCCCATTCTAGAGCTGGTTGAAACACGGTCTGCTCTCTAGTGGCTTCTATTCTGCCTTGCTTACCGTGGAGTGCACTAATACCTATCGCTGTACATAGTGTATACAGTGTACATACTTCTGTTCTAAACTGGTGAAGGATAATATAAGTCAAAAGTTTTCTGCTGTGTTTATTTTGCTCTCTTTACAACCAGGATAACAGGCCATTTGGACTCCTGGGTTGTAATACTGTGACTACTTAGGAATAGTGACAACAGTAACTTACCTGCCACCACTACCATGAATGTGACTACTTAAGAATAATGACAACATTGACTTACCAGCCACCACTACCATGACTGTGACTACTTAAGAATAATGACAACATTGACTTACCAGACACCACTACCATGACTGTGACTACTTAGGAATAGTGACAACAGTAACTTACCTGCCATCACTACCATGACTGTGACTACTTAGGAATAGTGACAACAGTGACTTACCTGCCACCACTACCATGACTGTGACTACTTAGGAATAGTGACAACAGTGACTTACCTGCCACCACTACCATGACTGTGACTAATTAGGAATAGTGACAACAGTGACTTACCTGCCACCACTACCATGACTGTGACTACTTAGGAATAGTGACAACAGTGACTTACCTGCCACCACTACCACGACTGTGTCCAGCATTAATGGAGAAGGTGGTGTCTTTGTTAGGTTGGAACTTGTAACCAATGTTAGCTCCCACGTTCTTTGGGTCAGAAAATCTGAACAAGACAATAAACATTGTAGCATTAATGCGCTACCTTCTAGCTTGCTATTACAAATATGATCAAAGTCGAATATAAACATACATAAAATGATTATGTCTTACCATAAGCAAAAAAAATAGAAATATTTCTGATGGTTGACCAAAATTTTGCTGAAAATGATTTGACACTTACGACCAGCAAGATAAATTTGGAGATATTACTGATCCCAGAAAAAGTATGTGGTTATTACTGATCCCAGGATAAGTATGTGGTTACTACTGATCCCAGGATAAGTATGTGGTTGCTACTGATCCCAGGATGAGTATGTGGTTATTACTGATCCCAGTATAAGTATGTGGTTATTACTGATCCCAGGAAAATTATGTGGTTATTACTGATCCCAGGATAAGTATGTGGTTACTACTGATCCCAGGATTAGTATGTGGTTACTACTGATCCCAGGATAAGTATGTGGTTATTACCGATCCCAGGATAAGTATGTGGTTATTACTGATCCCAGGATGAGTATGTGGTTATTACTGATCCCAGGATAAGTGTGTGGTTATCACTGATCCCAGGGTAAGTATGTGGTTACTACTGATCTCAGGATAAGTATGTGGTTATTACCGATCCCAGGATAAGTATGTGGTTACTACTGATCCCAGGATAAGTATGTGGTTACTACTGATCCCAGGATAAGTATGTGGTTACTACTGATCCCAGGATAAGTATGTGGTTACTACTGATCCCAGGATAAGTATGTGGTTATTACTGATCCCAGGATAAGTATGTGGTTATTACTGATCCCAGGATAAGTATGTGGTTACTACTGATCCCAGGATAAGTATGTGGTTACTACTGATCCCAGGATAAGTATGTGGTTATTACTGATCCCAGGATAAGTATGTGGTTATTACTGATCCCAGGATAAGTATGTGGTTACTTCTGGCCCCAGGATAGGAAGGCTATGTATGATAATTCTCTTAAACTGCAAAATCTGTAATAATCAGTTATATTCATGAAGTGCTAAACTCGTATGGGTCTCACGGATCCCTGGAGAAGTGAAAGGGATGAGCTTGACGCTTGGAACGCGATTTATCTTCTGATAAGATCATCATCATCATCATCATCATCATCATCATCATCATCATCATCATCATCATCATCATTATAATAATAATGATAATAAAATATCTTTATTTACTACCAGTACATGTACAAGGTATACCAGTACATGTACAAGGTATACCAGTACATGTACAAGGTATACCAGTACATGTACAAGGTATACCAGTACATGTACAAGGTATACCATACATGTACAAGGTATACAAGTACATGTACAAGGTATACCATTACATGTACAAGGTATACCATTACATGTACAAGGTATACCAGTACATGTACAAGGTATACCAGTACATGTACAAGGTATACAATACATGTACAAGGTATACCAGTACATGTACAAGGTATACAAGTACATGTACAAGGTATACCATACATGTACAAGGTATACCAGTACATGTACAAGGTATACAAGTACATGTACAAGGTATACCAGTACATGTACAAGGTATACCAGTACATGTACAAGGTATACAAGTACATGTACAAGGTAATACCATTACATGTACAAGGTATACCAGTACATGTACAAGGTATACAAGTACATGTACAAGGTATACCAGTACATGTACAAGGTATACAAGTACATGTACAAGGTATACCAGTACATGTACAAGGTATACAAGTACATGTACAAGGTATACCAGTACATGTACAAGGTATACAAGTACATGTACAAGGTATACCAGTACATGTACAAGGTATACAAGTACATGTACAAGGTAACCAGTACATGTACAAGGTATACCAGTACATGTACAAGGTATACCAGTACATGTACAAGGTATACCAGTACATGTACAAGGTATACAGGTACATGTACAAGGTATACCAGTACATGTACAAGGTATACAAGTACATGTACAAGGTATACCAGTACATGTACAAGGTATACCAGTACATGTACAAGGTATACAAGTACATGTACAAGGTATACAGGCCATAGCTGACATCAATAACATACTACTATATAGAAAGCCACTTGTTATGCAGAACATCGCCGGCAAATTAGGCCAATTTTGTCCCAGGATGCGACCCACACCAGTCGACTAACACCCAGGTACCCATTTTACTGATGGGTGAACATGGACAACAGGTGTAAGGAAACACGCCCAGTGTTTCCACCCTTGTCGGGAATGGAACCGGGACCCTCTGCGTGTGAAGCGAGAGCTTTAGCCACCAGGCCAACCCTCAAGGGAGATTCCTTGACGCTGGTGAGGGGCTCTTGATCTAGGGAATCGGATCTGTACTCCGGTTCCCTGAATTGAGCCTGAATACCTTCCATCCCCCCCCCTAGATACACTGTATAATCCTATGGGTTTAGCGCTCCACCATGATTATAATACTGATAATTGCTACCAGGCCGCGGGCCTGTATAAGACAACGCCAGGAGACACCTCCACCAGCCAGATAAACAACTTACCCAGGAATCCTGTGACGTTCATAATCGATGCCAGCGCCGAATGTGTGTTTGTTGATGCTGTGTTCCAGGTTGATGTTTGCGGTCTCCTTCCGGATGCTGCACGAAACAAAATGTTTTTTAACACGTTAAATGTAAAAGGGGAAAAATCTGTTGTCCCTCTTTATATTCTTGGATGCCTTTCACAGTAAGATAAGATTTCGTTCGGATTTTTAACCGTGGAGGGTTAGCCAGCCAGGATAACCCAAGAAAGTCGGTGCGTCATCGAGGACTGTCTAACTTATTTCCATTGTGGTGCTCAATCTTGTCCCCCAGGATGCCGCCCACACCAGTCGACTAACACCCAGGTACCTATTTGCTGCTATGTGAACAGGACAACAGGTGTAAGGACTCACGTCGAAATGTTTCTACCCAGCCGGGAATCGAACCCGGGCCTTACGTGTATGAAGCGAGAGGTTTGCCGTCCAGGCCACGGGTCAATATTCTCATAGCTGAAGAGATTTTCCTGGAGTTGTCACCCTGCCCAGGTAGACATCTACAACACCTGACGTACACCCTGCCCAGGTAGACATCCACAACATCTGACTTACACCCTGCCCAGGTAGACATCCACAAGACCTGACTTACACCCTGCCCAGGTAGACATCTACAACACCTGACTTACACCCTGCCCAGGTAGAAATCTACAACACCAGACTTACACTCTGCCCAGGTAGACATCCACAACACCTGACTTACACCCTGCCCAGGTAGACATCCACAACACCTGACTTACACCCTGTCCAGGTAGACATCCACAACACCAGACTTACACCCTGCCCAGGTAGACATCTACAACACCTGACTTACACCCTGCCCAGGTAGACATCCACAACACCTGACTTACACCCTGCCCAGGTAGACATCCACAACACCTGACTTACACCCTGCCCAGGTAGACATCCACAACACCTGACTTACACCCCAGGTACCTATTTAATACTAGGTGAGTAATGGGAGAAGCTCGATGGAGACTTACTCCTGCCACAGCCAAAACCCGGAAATCGACTCTAAGTTCCCTCGGCTGTGAGCCAAATCCTCTACCACTGACTCTTGGTTATGCAAAATTTTGGTTTAGAAAGACACGTAAGCAAACACTATGAAGGTTAGAAGTGATCAAGATCCCAGGACCGAAACGTTTTCTAAATAAATATGTCCTAGTGTTTGCTTACGTGTCTTTCTAAACCAACTTGTCGGTATTTATTACCAAGGTTTATACCATGCAAAATTTTAAAATATAAAATCTATACACTGTTACATAAAGGAATGTCGTACATGAACATAGAATACTGGACCACTATAGAACGCCTACTGACACATTCTAGGTAGCTCATACTTACGAGCGAATGAGCACTATAGTTGCCCTACTGGCCAAGGCAAATCTAGTCTTACTCATTTAAGAACAGATTAGCTCTGCAGTAGGCCTACTGGCACATGTCTATTTATATTTGATTAGGCAGGCCCTACTTAAATATAATTAGAGGATGTGTGTAAGAGGTTTTCGGGCCATATTTTTAAGGTTCGTCTATTACTAGAAACAAAATGTGCTTACCCATGAGGAAGATTTTCAACATTGGCTCCTCCGGATACTGCAGTCTGTCGCTTACGTCGGTCGTAGATAAAATCATCTTCTGCTGACAATATGGGCTCATCCTGCAGGTCGTCTGAGATGCGGTCTTGTGGGGCAGCAGCTATGACGGCCACTAACAGTAGTAAGTCAACTAAGATGTGTATCTGCATGGTGATGAATGCTAAAGAATGTACTGGAGAGTACTAGCGAGTGTCAGAGAGAATTAATTAACGTTGGAGAGAGCAGTTAAGACTGGCCACTGCTGGAGATGACAGTGGTGGAGGCAGCAATGAACTTACTGGCCACTGCTGGAGATGACAGTGGTGGAGGCAGCAATGAACTTACTGGCCACTGCTGGAGATGACAGTGGTGGAGGCAGCAATGCACTTACTATTTATATACTCGACCACAATCACTGGGAAACTCCCAAACTCATCAACAACTAATATTTTGATCATGTATCCGGATTGTGACCTTGACTCTGTTTAGTGACTTGCTAACGGTCTTCATCTGGTGGCCCGTGACCTGGTGGCGAAAGCTCTCGCTTCACAAGCTGAGGGTCCAGGTTAGATTCCCGGCGAGAGTTGAAACATTGGGCGTGCTTTCTTACACGGGTTGTCTATGTTCACCCATGAGTAATAATAGGTACCTGGGTATTAGTGGACTGGTGTGGGTCGCATCCTGGGACAAAACTGACCTAATTTGCCCGAAATGTTTCGCAAAACAAGGAGCTTTCTATATAGTAGTATGTACTGATGTCAGCTCTGGTCTGTATACCTTGTACATATACTTGTAGTAAAGATATTATTATTATTATTATTAGTAGTAGTAGTAGTACTAGCAGTAGTATTAATAGGAGCTGCCATAACATCATTTTATAAGGCGGTATACAAGTACACTAATTTGTAGCACCCAGAACAAGCAACTAGCATCAACGGTGCTAGTTAACAGCAACACTAGTATGATTCCATTCAACTAAGATTCGTACAAGGATCACAACAATATAAATATTAGTTACGAAACACATATGTAATGATGAGTGAGGAGTGTTGCTATATACACAGCATAATGATGTCAGTGAGGAGTGTTGCGATGTATACAGCATAATGATGTCAGGAGTACTGTTATGAACACAGCATAATGATGTCAGAGAAGAGTGTTGCAGTGTATACAGCAAAATGATGCCGGTGAAGAGTGTTGCAATGTACACAGGATAATGTTATCAGAGAAGAGAGTTGCAATATATACAGCATAATTATGTCAGTGATGAGTATTGTTATGTACTCAGCATAATGTTTACGGGTTTATCGAGTCCTTTTTGGAAACGGGAGTAATAAGGCTTCGGAGGCTTCTTACTTTATTTGCAGTATCGTGGGGTACACAGACATGTTAAGTACCCATTGCCCGGGAGGGCCATGGGCAGAGAGGGAGAGGAGTAGACCTGTGGACTGAGTGATATGAGCTGCCAGAATGAGAGTCAGGTCTGGGCATACTGAAGTGGCATGGGCCTATAGGTGGCAGCACGAGCATGGCGTGTAATATGAACTCAGTTGGCAGACAGACTGTGTGCCTATGCACACAGTACAGGCCGTCTACAATAATGATGTCAGGAGTATTGGTATGTACACAGCATAATGATGTCAGTGAGGAGTATTGCTATGAACTCATTATAATAAGAACATGAGAACAAAGAAACACTGCAACAGGCCTACTGACCCATGCAAAGCAGGTTCATCCCACCCCTCCGGCCTAGAAAAATGGCCACCTAGCCAGGTCACTTCCACTTAAGGAAGGAGCACGGCACCAGACCCAGCAGCACAAGCTAGTCAGGTCTAATTCACATCTACCCACACCCACTCATGTATTTGTCCAACCTATTTTTAAAACTACACAACGTCTTAGCGTCTATGACGGTACTCGGGAGTTTCTTCTACTCATCCACAACTCTATTACCAAACCAGTGTTTTCCTATATCCTTCCTGAATCTGAATTTTTCCAACTTGAAACCATTACTGCGAGTCCTGTCTTCGCTGGATATTTTCAGTACGCTATTTACACCCCCTTTATTCCTGTTTTCCATTTATACACATCAGTCATATCCCCCATAATTCCACGCCTTTCTAGCGAGTGCAAATTCAGGGCCCTCAGTCTTTCCTCATAGGGAAGATTTCTGATACATGGGATTAACTTTGTCATCCTCCTCTGTACGTTTTCCAGAGCATTTATATCCACTCTGTAATACGGTGACCAGAACTGAGCAGCATAGTCTAAATGAGGCCTAACCAAGGATATGTAGAGTTGAAGAACAACCTGAGGACTTCTATTATTTATACTTCTTGATATGAAGCCAAGGATTCTGTTAGCTTTATTGCAAACACTTACGCACTGTTGTCTTGATATAAGATTACTGCTAACCAGAGGGGGGTATCAGGAGGGGGATATCAGCCCCTTTCAGCCCTTTACAGCCCTGAGGGGCCAAGCCCTCTCAGAAGGGGCAAGCATCCTGTTTACTGTCACATCAAGTAATTACAAGCAGATGTTTAACCAGTGTGTACTAGTCATAGGTCATGTGACTCCTTGCAAGACACCAGTACTGCAAGTAGTGTAGTTTAATAAGAGACAATCAATCTCTTACCTTTGCAGGACAATTAAGGAAAATCCTACTCCCATTTTATTACCATGTTAAAGATGTACATTGTTGTCTATGCAAAGACAGCAAGAATCAAGCATTTTGCACGGCTTCATGGTAGAAGTTTGGCAAGGAAGGGAAATATGGTGTGTCAGCTTTTCCTTTATGTGCTGGGGACAAGCAAAGGGCGGCAAGAGGCGTCTTAGCTTAGATTGCTTTTCACCCTGTGTGAAGGCTTACTCAGCTCGGTAACAACTTCAGACAGTATTACCAAGGCTGGCTCCTCCTCAGGAAAATTAATGAGTAGAAAAAGAAATAATAATTCACAAAGATAAACACTATTATTTAGTAATGCAAAGATAAAACATTGAAACATGAAGGTGTATCCTACTTGAAAGAAAAATGAAAAATGAAATGAAAAATTGCCATTTGAATTCAATGCTAATATGTACAAGTAAACTGGGGTGTCTGGTTGATGTTGACACTGTCTTGTAGAAATTGTAGCCGTTGATGATGATGTGGGGGAGGGGGGTCACAGGTGTTGGTGACAACCCAGCGACTAGTTCTTCACAGAGTCTATAGCCTTGAATAGTCAGTCCAGATGACAGGAACGCAGGTTCTTTACCACTGCAGAGATGAGGGGTAGTTGCCTGCGGTTTACCGCAAGTAATCAGGTAGGTAGATAAATAAATGATGTCTCATGGGCTGTTTCAGTCCATCTCCTTCAACACTTCTCGTTGGTTGGCAGGTGACCCGATCTGTCATTCCAAGCTGGAAAGGGGAGACAGTTACCCACTGCTTAAGAAATCACTCTCCATGATAAGTGCAAGATAATTAAAAAAGGTGGTGATTATCGAAAAGTATTATGTGGAGCTTAAAACTGAAAGGACTAAGTTTATTATTGGTCAAAAGTGAAGCTTTCAACCAATATCCACTAGAATAGGAGCAGAGGCTTTTACTTACAGTTGTGCTGGGAGCTGTGAGTCGAGTGATTACTGTTTGGCCGGAGCCCCACACGTCACCTTTCGGGGTGGGGAAAAAGGGGGGGAGGGGACAGTGGGAGCGAGACTGACCCTACCTTAACAAGCAGCCGGCAATCAAACTATCGTTACCATATACTCGCTCGCTACTCCTATCTGTTGAACTTTTTCCTCACACCCTGCCAAGGGGCATATTAACACTGGGATAACGAAGAAAGAACACTGATCAGCGCATTTTTGTGCATAGAAGTATCTCAAAGAACACATCAAAACACTTACAGAGAAGTGTGATCAGCTTCTTTAGTGATAAGGTTGTGAATAATAAATAATACTTGATGAACAGCATAATAATGAATGTTGTTATCCTGATGGAGTAGTGCAATGTTTTAAAGAACACGTCTGCTTCAATCAAGACAATGGATAACCAGGTGCAACTACAGGTCAGCTACAAATACCCAGTTGCATCTAATATACATAATACATTGTTCGCATCGCTATTGGGCCGTGCGGACAGGCTGCGCAGTAGCTCCCACTTCACCTGGTTTCTGCGCAGTTTTCACTGATCAAACATGGCGGATTACAACGGCAGGAGGATCAACACAGTTTGCATTGAGCTGTTAAGGGGTTCTCTGAGCCCTGCTACAATGAACGTACTTCTTCCTGCAATTATTAGGGATCTATACGGCATCCCTAACGAGGAACTGTATGGTGTGGCCCTTAACGGGTTGAAAAGAGTATATTTTTTTTTTTTTTTTTTTTTTTTTATTTTATTTAAAACCAATACAGTTTAACATAAAAATAAAGAAACAGTATGGAACCTAATCAAATTAACTGACAAACGGATTGTACCTACATGCTCGCAAGATATTACAACAAAAACTTACAGCAAGAACATAGCTAAAAAAAAATTACATGTCACAGGGTCATGAATTGACATATATACAAAACCTTGCATATATATAAATTGTACATATAAATGACATCTGATAAAGGTTCAATACACTTGAACATGAAATATACAAAGAAGTTATATCAGTTAAATCCCATCCTTCACATTAATCAAAAAACCAAAACCTAACATCATAATCTTACTAGAAAATCTACATACTTACCCCTAACAATACAGCTGAAACAAATACCAACATACAAAAACAGAAAAAGAATACAACTTAGAACACAATAACTGAAGCTCTATACTGTTACAAAAACCCATATACAAATCTCAGACACAAATTACTACGCACTAAACTGTCAAAGATATGTCTGTATACCATACAGACTAAAACTTAACATCAAGAACTTGCATTAACACCAAACAGGAAATCAGGGTACAGACCATAATTAAAAACTTTAAAAAGAACAATCATGCATATATAAAGTATTACATAACGTCTGACCCATGACAAAGGCCAATACAATAGAAAGGGATATATATTTATATATATAATACACACACACCCACACCCACACCCCACACACCCACAACCCACACCCACATACACACACCCACACGTACACACAAAAATTTTTCACAAAATCACATTAATCAGATGCACTGTATGCACAATGCAAAACAGTATATAAGTATATCTCATCGTGCAAAAACCCAGCACGTAACATAAATACAAACAAAAAACACACTTCCTGTCGCAAAGAACTTATTCCTCAAGAATCATGTTATACAACACTAAATACACATCATAATTATACATAAAAAATCTACTATATTATACCTACATTCTAAAAAAGTGTTATATCTAACATAACGAGCCCTTTG